CAAAAGGAACTTACAAGCGATTAGCGTCAACCTCATGGGACTATGTGAGCCCAACATAGGCCAAAGGTTCAATCGTGGGCTTGGTGCAGTATTTAAGGCTTTCATTATATACTTCAACATACTTCGACATAGGCCCCAAAACCGAGCAAGATTGACAGTGGATCAAACATCATCCTGGTGCGGGCGGTTGTTGCGTAGCTACCCTAATTCTTGTATGTCACAACAAGCGAGCTGCACACATTTCTCAAGATTGATGCAGCGTAGACCCCATCCTCCCGCGGCACGAAGGTTACATCACAGTCTGAGTTCGCGTTGCACCTGAGGCGGGTCAACATCCTTCGTGATGTCTTGATCGCGTTGGGTACTGTGCAATGCATGTATTTCTCAAGCTCCCCAATGATCCCAATGGCTCAAAGCCACCAATACTACGCAAATGCCGCTGATGCCATATTAGGCATCTAATTTTGCAGGACACTTGCTTCTGTTTCTATTCCAAAAGTATGTGCTGCTGTGAAATCGATCCCATCACATTCAGTTCTGCCATCCTGTTCTTGCTGCTTGGCCCCGGGCAATGTGTTGGTGTGGGAACCGAAGGGCACAACGTCCCCGTCTATTCCCAAATGCTTGGCAGCTGCTTGGATCCTTTCCACCTCAGCTTTTCTGCCTAAAAGCATCCACTTATATTTATATAAAACATCATTCTGTAAGACCCAGTCACTTCGCACTACAGTCAACCAAATGCTGCTGTAAATGCTATTGTAGCACAATGCACGCAGTGATGGCACCGACACATGTTGGACACTTGTCTCCGTTGAGGTCCACACAACATTGGTGACAATGGAATCCTGAGCCTGTGACATGACTCCACGAGGAGGGTATTCATGGTGCATCGATAACTGCAGGATTAGGATGCTAAATAGACCTCTTTAAGCTGCAGAATTGATGGAAGCATCAAGTTCTCGAGGCCCTGCCTTCCCAAAGTTGCGCCGATCCCACCTGCCCATCCTCTCTCCTCAAGCGTAGTTTCTAAACATCAGTTCAACCGTGATACGTGTCTTATGTACACATATTCGTGTCTATCACCACAAATACTTACTTACATACATGGTCCTGAGCATTGCTACGCTCACTTACAAAGGTCTTGCTTCCACCACAATATCAAGGGACGACAAACAGGCTCAGGCTCAGGCTTCTGCAATCTTGCTATCCTGTCCACATGCCAGCTTATTGTAGCACGAGTCAAGCTGCCGGTTACCGTTCCAGTGCCCTGCAAACTCCCAGCCACTGTGAGTGGCTTGGTTGACACTCCATTCGTCCTTCTTGCTTTTTTTTCTTACACATCTTCAGCTCACCTCAGAGCAATTCAAACTTTGATATACTTTGATATGGGCTTGCACATGACAAACTCAACTACGCTCGAGCCACACAAAGCAGAAAGGGGCCTCAACATGCAAAATATGCCAGGTGCCAATGCAAAAAGGCTTTCTCAATCTGTCACCTTTTTTCTCACGGTTCTGTCCCACGATTCTGTCAAATGGTTTCTATCAAACCAAACAAATGTGTCAGTGAAGGCCGCCAAATCATTGTTGTAATCTCATCAGGACGCAGAAGGTCAATTGTACTGCATGCCCTAATGCTTGATGGGTAATGCGTACTCCCTCACCCATATTGACGGGGAATTATAAATATATATATACAGTATATGCATTGTCATCCAAATCCTCTACACCTCCTAAAACTTCTGTTTCGAAAGATGGGTGTCGGACTCTGCCCCTAGTCTGTGCTCCAAAATCGCCAGGATATGCAATAGCTCCAAAGCATTTACAGTAACTCGCTCTAAGCGATTTGCAAACAGCATGGTACTATGCCTGCAGCTTTTCTTTGGCGAAAACCACTATGTTCCCTTCTTACTCCCATCAAGCTTCGTGTCGAGCCCTTCTCAGCTTTGATGGATTGTCTTGTTCTCCTCACGTTACTCACAGCTTTCGGTGTGAATTCAATTTGAACTCTTCAGGAGTGACAAAATAAGACCCCCTGATTACCTGCAAATGCCCTTGCAGTACAAGGGCGATTCCAGTCGAGTGGCACTGCACACGCCAATCCCTGACATGCTAGTGTAAGGTCTACTGGTCTACTGTATCATCGTTGAAGATGTTGGTTATTCTTCCAAGACGGCTCACTGTGTGCTGCAACCTTGTGCAACCTATCTCAGCTCAGCTAGCTCCGCAACTTTGGCGAAATATTTGACCTCGGAGTGTCAGTGTCTAACTTCATCTACAGAACACACGAATTCCGACCTGAAACTTCGGGGTTTCAGAGTCTGGCATCAACGAAACAACCAGTGACCGTGACCAGTGGGTTGGCAAAGGGGGTGGGTGGTTCAAATTTTTTTCCTCTTGAGTACCGTACCCATGTTGCCTGATGGAACCAAAAGCATCTCACAGCAGCGGAATTGGGCCAATTGGATCCGACCGTTACGACTTGGCACCGCGCTGAGTGCCACGGTACGCTCCAAATATGGCCTCGCACGTGCCGTGCGCTGAGCCTGGCTCTTCACACCTTCGATCTATTTGGAACGAATCAAAGACGAGTCCAAAATGACACATGTGAGAACAAGAGCCGCATACGTAGGTAGGCCGGTAGGAAGGGTCTTTACTAAGCCAGTCACTGTCACACGTGTTTTTAGATGCTTTTAGTACTGCAACATGTTAGACCGAATCAACTCTTTCATGCTTCTGTGGCCGCAAGTTTTGATGCGTGGCCCCCACCCCAAAGTAACTACAGTGCACACATGTCTGACATCCTGTATTGCACCCCGACGCATCCGCATGAGTCACGAGGCTTTGAACACTAGGAAAGGGAGGACAGGCAAAGAACAAATAGGTGGCGAGAATCCAGCAAATGATGCATGCTGCAGAACCCGTCTGTGGTCCGACAACTGATCCACCTTTCAATGCACGCATACTAAGGAACCTCAAAGGAACCTCACACAACTTCCCATTGCAAAATCCGTGAAAGGCACCGAGCTTGAATGGGAACACCGTGGGAAACCCCACTGCGAAAGAAGACACCACCCTCGGGCAGTGGATGTATTTGGCAAAGACTTTGGGTTTACAATTGTTTGTTGTTCTTGTAATCAGCCCATTGATTCTAAGTTGGTTAGGAAATTGCCCAATACAGTTTGCTGCAGTTTGTTCTTTAGTTTCTACGAATTGACTCTAACCCTACTTTGCTCTGTTTGCATCTGGGTTGCGGCAGCACCCCAACTCTTCAGAGCATGAGGTCTAAAGAACAAAAATGAGTGCTCAAGACTCAAGACCCTTTAAAGCCCTTCTTTTACAAAGCTGCGCCTTGAAGAAACATTTGGTTCAAAGGTCAAAAGACCAGGGAAAAAGAGAGGGGCAACCAAGGCCACCAACCAGGCCCGAGCACCGAGTGCCACCTCACTCCGGACCCAGACCCCGAACGGGACGACCCCGAACGGGCACGACCCCGAACGGGCACGACCTCAGAAACCCAGTGAAACCTGCAGAAACGAAGCCCAGGGCCGGGTGCAACCCCCCTAACATGAGAGTCCTCCAGACGCCTCGCAAGGGCACCCGACACCGGTGTCCACCCTTCCGAAATGTTCTGCCAGGGGCAGGAAAAACGGTAGCAACCTGGATCAAGCTGCGGGAAGAGTGAAGCCCCAGGAGATGTGAACAGAAAAAGGGTCCGAGCGGAGAGCAGAAAAGCGGTGCTCAAATTTTTCAGGTAAGGCAAGACCGTTAAAGGTCGAAAGAGAATCCGGGTCTGGCTTTCATGGCCAGCCTCTTCAAACGTCGGACGACATTGTCCTCAAATGAAATCTCGGTCAGCTGTGCTAAAGCATCAGCCAAGTAGATCCGAGCTGTCCGTTGATTGTTCCAGCGGCCAACAACGCAAATGGAAGACAAACTGTTAGAGACCCGAAATGCGTGTGTGGCCCCGCCTCTTCGAAGCGAGTACCACTGAAATCCAGAAGGAAGTCGAAGCTCTTCCAAAATGGTCCGCAATCGAACTCGCATAGTAGGAGGACTAGCTCGACGCAACAAATCGCCTGGGGCGAAAGTGCGCGCATAGGAAAAGAGCGCAAAAACGAGCCAGGGGTCCTCAATGACCAAGGATTCCTGTGTGCCTTGGCGCATACCTCCTTTTGAAAGGAGTAAGGGGCCACACCACTCGACGAAGGGAATGATCGAAGACGAAATCCTCCCGCCGCGCCGCAAACAATTCCCCTGTGCGGGCATAGCGGTCGAATCCCAACAACAAAAGGATGGCCACATCGGGCCACTTTAGCTCAAAGGCCTGCTGAGCCAGGGCGTACACAATCAGGGGAGTAAATGGTAGCGCCCGCGCAGGGAGCTCAGCCTGGGTCCAGCTCCCGTGAAGACGCCACGCCCCGACCAGGAACCTTTGACACTGAGGGATGTAGTGCCCTAATCCGCTCAAGCAATCAGAAGCGTATGACTTGGGATCACCCGATTGCCAAAGACTTTCAACGAATTCACAAACACGTGCATCCAGGAGCATGTGGGTAGTAGGGTAGCTGTATGCACGCTCCCGCAAAAACCGTAAAAAACGTGACACTGCTACATAATATCGCGACTCAGTAGCGGGTGCCACCACAAGTTGTTGAAGTGAAGAACGCCCTTTGCACAGCACACTCAAAGCAACCATATTGTCGATCAAAATGATCGGTTGGGTGGCATGGAATCGCTCATCTTTGGCCAGTTTGCGCAGCACGTCTAGCACTGTCACAGTCTCCGACACGTTGATATGCTGACCAGCCTGTTTCCACTGGTATGAAAGCAACACTTTCCAGCGCCAGTGGGTTGGATCAATGCTTTGTCTACACATGCTTCCCAAAGGCATTGCGATTCCCTTCTCAATCCTGATGTCCCCCCCTCGGTGAGTCGCATTCCGAGTGAGAAGATAAGAAAGAATTTCTTCATCCGTCATCCAGTGACTCGGATCAACCAGGCAAGGAGACGGCAGGCCCGCAAGCCCAGAGACCCTCTGACAAAGGCTCCGGACCCCGGTGGCAGCACCCGCCTGGGATCCAAATCGAACTTTCCAGGGCTGATCTTCGTGCTGAGACCGTTCCTCCAAGTCATGCCAGCTTTTGCCATAGCAGCCCTGTGAGATCCAACCTCTTGACCTCTTCATCCTCAGTGATGACCAACCCGGGCAGCAGGCGAGCCACCATCACCGTGGCCAAGGAGTTCCCAATTAGCTGGCCCTTCTGGTCATTGCTGAGCTTGGTTTTAGCTTCCAGATGAGTGGAGTTGAATCCCATCAGACGAAGCTGTTCTCGAGGGTTAGCCCCGTCGTGGCCCCTGCGGGTCCACAACCATATTTCTGTTTTCATACTGGTAAGGAGCCATTCGAAAAGAGTCTCCTCGCCATCGACCCAAGGCCTTCTGCGATGCGGTTTCAAATCCTGCTGGATGAGGAGGCGGTTGTCTCCTTCCTACAACCTCAGATGCATGGTTTTTTTTTTGGATGTTTCTAAAAAAACAGCCTCGGCCGTAATTTTCAAAAACGGCCGTAAAATACCATAACTGCCTCTAAAGGAGGTTCCAGAGGAGGTCTCAGGATTCCAAGAGGACGATTACATTGGCATCCATTTCATGTTGGAAGTTGTGGCACTTTCAACTGCTGCCCTCCTTTCAAGAGGCCAATGAGAGTACATTACCGTATATATAGTCATGATGCAATAGCCCAGTCTTCACATAGACGCTTTGATAAAGTACATCAAAACAATTTCAAGACAAGGATGCACATGGGTTGCTGCTCCTTCCTTTTTCAGTGAGCAATGGGGAAGATACCAACTCCTGCGTTCAAAGGCCGGAGAATTGATATTTTTCCTGAAGAGTCTGCAGCATGCAAATTGATTTGCAAGCTAGTGAGTGTCCTCAGTGTCCTCATTTGGATGTGCCTTGAGGCATTTGTCAAATACGTATTCCCTTTTGCCCTGAAGCCATTGGTCCAAGAGTGTGGGATTTGTCACAAATGCTGCAACCCAAGGGTACGGAAGCTTTGGAGAAAGGTCCCATGAATGAATGGGACTTGTCATGGGTGTCAGAGCTTCATGTTATCTGGGACAGAGACAAACTTTTCCGCTCTTGCTCGCAGAAAGGGGCGCCTTTCACTAGAGGCCTCAAGCAAAGTGAAGGCGAACCAGTTGTTGTAGGATGCATTGAATGCGTCCACAATAACTTTGAAGCCTTGAAGCCTATCACCAGGCTTATTGCAGAGCATGGGTGCTTGAAGAACCCATGGGTTGACATGCTCCTTTCTGAGACGTTGCAGTTTCATGACAACTGTGGATTCCCTGACCCAAGCCGCTTGGAGTCGGTTGCCCTTAAAGATGCCTGGGCAATCAAGAAGATGTTGACCTTCTGCAGGCATAAGTGGACTAGACCAGAAACCCCAAGGGTGCCTTAGCCAAACTTTTTTGTGTGTGTGTGGGTGTTTTGGTTTCCGCTCCTGTGTGCTACTGGTTCTGGCATGTTTGTTGAGTTTCTGTTTTGAGGATACTTTGTTGCGGGATTTGTGCAATGATTGCCAGCAGGCATTCGAGAAGGTTTGTGATGAAACTTGGCTGCCACATTTTGTGCCTGCAGAACCCAAAACAAACAACCAACACTATACTCACTATACAGACTCTTTCATCTTGATTTTCTTAGGCGATGGGTGCCAAGCTGGCTCATCAGCAACTACAGGAGGTGGTACATGTTGATTCGGATGTGGAGGCTGACAATGAACCAGAGGAGGGTGGTGGTTTTCAGATTGGTTCCGGAAGTGAGAGTGAGAGCGTGATTCTTGTGTGGACCCCGTCCCAGAAGGAACCGCTTCAGGCAAAAAGGACTCCCCCAACAACATTGAATGTGACATGTCCCTCGAAGAGATGCTTCGTTTGGCTGAGCTGAAGTTGAAGGCCAAAAGGCTGACACTTGCACGCATTTTTTCACCCATTCAGGTATATTAATCTCCGGGCATCCCAAGGTGGTTTTGCAACACTTGGTTGTCCAAGGATGGCGCAGGAAAGGGCAAGGCTGAAGCCTTTGACCCGGCAAGCCTCTTCAGAAGGACTTTTCAGTTTGTCTCGTGAAGAAGTGATGACCTGTAATTGTGGAGTGTACTTCTTCAGCTTCCAGTTTTTACCCATTTGTCTAGGACCATTTGATGTTCTTTCAAGTGATGATGAACCTGATCCAGCTGACACCTCTGTCAAAGATTATGACGAGACTCAGCCAGTTCACTTGGACACGCAAATCATGCAGAATGCACTAGATGCACCTGGTAGTCCTTCCCAGATTGGACCTAGACCAAAGACGTTCGCGGAAACCAAACGCCGTGGCAAGAGCGATTCTGATGCAACCATTGCTTTCGGAGATGCTACAAAAACAGGGCTGTCCCCCATCAAAGAAGTTCTGCGGCTGAACATTGCCTTTTACTGTGGTTGGTTCTTGCTGATTTGTTGGTCTCGCTGTTGTTGCAGGCGTGCTTGGCAGTCCTTTTGTTCCCCAACCCGA